CTCCTTGCGCGTCCTGGTGACGCGGGCCCGCGCTCCGGCCAGCACGCTGGCCTGGCTGCCCAGCTCAGAGCAGGTGTCCCCCGCCCTGGGTGCCTGCCCCTCGGCTGCAGCTGCGCCCTGCTCCCACGGGCACCGTCCCAGCAGCCGGGCCAGGGGCTCAACGCGCCGTCGAGACCTGGAGGGGACAGGCTGCCCACGAAGGGCACCCCAACTCCGGGCAGCCCCGGGGGCAGACAGAACGGGTGGGGCCGGCCCGCCTGCAGGAGCCTGCTTCCAGCCACAGCGGCACCCCCGCACGGGGAGGGGAGCTGGGCAGAGCCCCTGAGAGACTAGCCCAGGTCCCGGTGGAAAGCGGCGCCCCCAGGGCAAGGCGGAGGGCGGCTGGCGGAGGGCTGCGGCAGCGCCCGGGGCAAGGCGGCCGAGGCCCCCGGGGCAAGGCGGAGGGCGGCCGGGGCGCCCGGGGCAAGGCGGAGGGCGACCTTCTGACAGCCGTGGGGGAAGGCGGCTTGCGACTTCCCACGGTCTGGAGGACTCAGCAGCCGGCAGCAGCGATGCGCGCTGGCCCGCCGAGTGGGGGTGGGGCGGTGCTCCCTGCAAGAGCTTCCGCAGATCGTCATTTATCACGTTATTTTGACTCAGGCTGCCGGGCTGCAGCGTAACTCCAGCTGGAAGCACTTGAGAGCTTTTATCTTTTCACAGAACTCTTCGTTGCGCTGAGAGCAGGAGGAAGTGTCTCGCTGGCTGCTGTGTCCGCGTCTACACAGCAGCTTGGATTAGTGGGGTTGGTGTCTGTTACTTAGAACTTTCTAGAGAGGCAGGGAAGTAATGAGGAAGCCGGCCCCTGGCCAGGTTACCTGTGGGCTCCCTCAGAGCACCAGAGGCGTGTGTGGGGTGCGAGTGCCTGGGGTGTTCCCAGCACATATGCAGCGAGGAGCCCCGCTCTCGCTCCCCGGCCGACTCTCTCGACCGGCCAGAGAGAAGGGGCAGTGGCCAGAGGCCTGCAGGAGAGAGGGGGCAGTGGCCAGCGGCCTGCAGGAGAGGGGGACAGTGGCCGGCCGGCCTGCAGGAGAGAAGGGGCAGTGGCCAGCGGCCTGCAGGAGAGAGGGGACAGTGGCCGGCTGGCCTGCAGGAGAGAAGGGGCAGTGGCCAGCGGCCTGCAGGAGAGAGGGGACAGTGGCCGGCTGGCCTGCAGGAGAGAAGGGGCAGTGGCCGCCGGCCTGCAGGAGAGGGGGACAGTGGCCGGCCGGCCTGCAGGAGAAAGGGGGCAGTGGCCAGCGGCCTGCAGGAGAGAGGGGACAGTGGCCGGCTGGCCTGCAGGAGAGAAGGGGCAGTAGCCGCCGGCCTGCAGGAGAGAGGGGGCAGTGGCCAGCGGCCTGCAGGAGAGATG